CCCCCCCGCGCAGCTCCGGAGATGGCTGCGGAGAGCACCGGGGCGGCCCTGCCCTCCTGCCTGGAAGGGAAGGGCCCCGGGGAGCGGGCGGCCATTCTGCACCAGCACCTGGGCCGCAGGGAAATGACCGACGTGATCATTGAGACCATCCAGCCGCGGCCAGGTACCGGGGGGCACGGAGGCCTTGGTGGGAAGGAGGGGCTGGTCGTTGCTGGCAAACGTTTCCCGCTGTGCAAAAGGTGAATTAATTTGGTGCTTTGCTTGCCGGCCTTGCTGGTCCCCAGGGACGGGATTGGGTGGCTCTGCAGGTGTTTACGTTTCCTGATGGAGGGGGAGTTTCCAGATGGAAACTCCCAAGTTTGTGGAATATCTGAGCTGGGCTCTCCTGACCCCTCCCCAGCCAACCTGCCCCTGCTTTGTGTCCCTGCTGGTGCCTGGTGGGATTTCAGCAGGCACAGCTTGCCCAGCAGCACCGGGCTCCTGCTGGGGGCTGTGGCAGCTCCAGAGTTTCCCCTGGAACAGCAGAGATGAGAAGTGTCTCATTCTGCTGCTCTCCAGGGCTGTAGCTTGGCTTCCAGGGGTGCTGCTGTGTCAGGGAGCAGCAGCACTTATGAAGTGCTTTTAGTAACATGGAAACTTCTGGTTTGTAAAAGATGAAACCAAAGCTGCTGTGGAAGAGACGAAATCTTTAGAGGCCACATCTGCCGAGGACAGAAACAAACAGGATGATCCAAGTAAAGAACGTGAGGCTGCTCCAGACTCACCTTCTAAACAGCTCCCTGACCAGATTTCCTTCTTCAGTGGGAATCCCTCCGTTGAAATCGTGCATGGCATTATGCACCTCTACAAAACCAAGTAAGAATGTCTGACTAATGTGCTGGTGGGACCAGCTCCTGAGCCACAGCCCCACCCAGCAGGGTGAGCTGCTTGCCCCGGGGCTGTGGCTCCTGCCTGGGATAAACAGGAAGGGTGACTGGCAGCCAGGTCCTGAGTTCATGGTGGAGCTTGAGGCTGGCCCGGGTCCCCCAGCTGTGGGAGATGCTGCTCCAGGCTGAGAGGGCTTGTCCCAGGGCTGTAAGAGCACTAAGGAGAACATCGGTCCTAAAAAATGATGTTTGAAATGATGCTCCAAAGGACATCCCACAGTTGGATTGTGATCTCTGGGGTCTTGGCACAGGCCTGAGGAGCTGTCTGGGGCAGGAGGTTTCATCCTGAATTCCAGGGATTACAATTCCATGCCATTTGCCTGTAATTGTGTGAGAACTCCCGTTCTGGGTCTTGCTGAAAGCTCTCAGGAACCACAGAATGGGCCTTTGAATAGTAACAAGCATGGCTCACTTGTTCCAGGGGTAGTTCTGAGCACCCATGGGATGCCATCTTCACTGCTTTTATGGGCAGAGACCAAATTATTCCTGACAAACCCACTGTTTATTGGAGCTGCCCAGTTTAAACCTTTGCCGAAGAGTTGTCATTTCACCTGGGTGATTGCTTACCTCAGCCTCCTTGTTCTTCTTAATCTCTGCAAATGTGCCGTGGGGTTAAGTCTGACAGCAAAGCTGTTGCAGACCCTGCAGCTGGGGAGGTGGGACCCCCACCCAGCTCTGCCCTTCTCCTCCCTGAAGAAGTCCCATGTTGTCCCATCAGCAAGATGACCTCGCTGAAAGAAGACGTGCGGCGCAGCGCCATGCTCTGCATCCTCACTGTCCCTGCCACCATGACCAGCCATGACCTGATGAAGTTTGTGGCTTCCTTCTACGATGTCATTGAGCACATGAAAATCATCCGAGACTCCACTCCCAACCAGTACATGGTACTGATCAAGTTCAGCTCTCAGGTAAGGGCTGGAAACCCCTTGGCTGTTGAAGGGACTGCTCTGCCATGTACCACTGCTGCTTGGGGATGGTGCCTGACCCAAGCTGTTAGCCCAGCTTGCACTTTATCCTTGGAGAAACAGTCCTGTCCTATTGCCCAGAGCATTCCTGGGACTGCTGACAAGGATTAGTCCCACATCTGGACCTGGAGGCAAGTGTCTGTCACGTCCTCACTGTCCTATTTCTTGTTAGCAGGGTATTTAAAATATGTATTAAGGATACATGGTTCTCTGCTAAACTCAGAGTGTGTTCAGAACAAGAGGGTGCACTGTACTGTGCTGAACAGAAGAGACCCATCCAGGGGGGCTTTGTCTGCATGTTGGGAAGGGCTTGTGCTTTTCCAAGGAGCTGGGTGCTCTCCCAGCCACTGCCAGTACCCTCAAAATGGGGACTCAATCAGAGGTGGCCCAGTTTGCTGCTCACAGCTCTTCTCCAGCTATGCAGCTTCAGGCATTTCCCCTGCCAGTTTCTGTGTGGACCCTCTCATTTGCACCTTCTCTTCTCCCAACTTCAGCTGACGTTTTTGGGGGCTGGGGGGAGGTTTCCCCCACACCATGGATGCTGCCCGAGGTGTTTCCCCTGCCCCTTGTACAGGTGCAGCGTTTGTGTGTGTTTTGTGCCATTTGCAGTGGTTACAAAGATGGATTTTGTAAATCACCGTGTCACATGTGGGCAAACACCTAATGCTTGCAGCAAAGCTATAAACTTCTGCTCAGCTCACAGTGGAATTCCCATTTCTTAGGAAGTTCCCTGGAGCCCTGTTCCCCAGGGCCTCTTGATGGCTGCATCTGATGGCAGCAAGAGCAGATCTGTCCTGTAGTGACCAGGAGTCTGGGAATGTGGAGTCTGGCTAATTTGCCACAATCTGGTGTGTTCTTTTGTGCAAGAAAGGGTTTGGGGAGGCTGAGTGAACACGGATGAGTTGACAGGTTTTATT